CTAGGGATATGCTCGAGGGTGCTTGGGGACGAGCATCCTAACACGCTGACTAGTATGGCCAACCTAGCGTCGACGTATAGGAACCAAGGGCGGTGGAAGGAGGCCGAAGAGCTGAAGGTGCAAGTAATTGAGACGAGCAAGAGGGTGCTTGGAGACGAGCATCCTGACACGCTGACTAGTATGGCCAACCTAGCGTCGACGTATAGGAACCAAGGGCGGTGGAAGGAGGCCGAAGAGCTACAGGCAAAAGAACTAGGAATATGCTCGAGGGTGCTTGGGGACGAGCATCCTGACACGCTGACTAGCATGCACAATTTTGCTTATACATTGAAGTTACAAGCTCGCCATGATGAGGCTCTTGTCCTTATAGAAAGATGCTTCCAATCACGCCGGCAGATCCTTGGCGAGCACCATCCTAATACACGGTCATCGCTTGACGCGCTGAATAGTTGGCGAGCGGGGTAAGGTGACAAAACCCCGACACATTACCTTTGCGTATAATCCAGATTATAACTAGAGCTAAATACAATAAAGTTTATAACGTGTTTCACCACCGAGCGCCGCAGTTTCTTCACCAAATCTTCTTCGCAACACTGTCTACCCAACACTACTACAATTTTTCTTATTAAGGAGAACAAGATATTATTCTTCAGACGTGTCGCTATTCTCTATATCCTCTAATTCTACTTGGCACGTGCGGGAGTTGTGTTTAATTTGGCTGTAACGCCCGCAGCACCATTCACTGCGTACTCTCTTCGCAGGCGTTGTACCCTTATTACAGCTACTACCCTCTGCCTTAATAATCTAATTAGCTAACTACCTAGCTGACTATCTAGGACCCCTTTAGCTATACGTAGCGCCTATTACAAGTTTTTCGCTTTATTACTTTATTAATTATAGCTTTAAGGCGATTAAGTTGTATAATGTTATACGGGGTTGGGTGCTAATACTTCTCTAGCTTGATCCGGGTTAGAGCAACTAGGATTATGTGAAAAGCGCCGTGAGGTAGTTGTTTGGCGATACAGTGGAGTGGCGTGCTTGATGGAGGAGTTTTGACAAATCCCTAATCTATTCGATAGACTAACAGGTAACAATCTTGTTAAGTAAAGTAACCAGTAAGAAAGTACAATTTGAATTGACCACAACGAGAGTAAATAATAAAATCCATCCATCCTTGTATCCTTATTGCTTCTAGTCCTGCCATCCCAAGGCGTTCTGCCATCCCTGGGATGGTTACTCTTGGCGGGATGGCACATCACGTGACCGAGCACCGCGATGATCATTATCTTCTGACGTGGACGTCCGTAGGCCTTCAGCCATCTCGTTACTTGTTAAGGAGAGAATCCTTCTTGTTACTTGTAATACCGAGCTCTTAGAGTAGTCTATTGACTATATCTCGCACGTCGTCTCTCCTATAGGGTAGTCCTTGCTCAGCCTCGACTATTATACGCCTAGTAATAGCCTCCTCTTTTAGTTTTGTTAGGCGCTTATAGTTTGGCTTGTAGTCGCGTTGTCGATGTATTATTCGTCTAGGGACGTTATAGATCTTTTTAGCACGTCGATTGCTTTAAATTTAGTTTTTACTAAGCTTAGAGACTGCTATTTGTACGTTAGCTTTAGTATAGCTTCTCTGAGCTTGTATTTGTTAAGATTTTATGCGTTATTGTTGGGATGAAGTTTTAGTGGAGGAACTGCGGCGCTTGGTGGGGTGCGGTGCTCGACGGTGAAACATGTTAAGTATAGCTCTTGGTGTAGTTAGTTATAGTTAGTACTATAACGTATTTATGTAGAACTTTACTGTATTTACCGCACCATACCTGTATAGAGCGACAAGAGACCTATGTTAGAAGCAGACGCGATGGTGTAGAACGCGTGCGTGCTTGATGGGAGGAACCACTGCCTGAACGGTTGGGAATAAGAGCTGCCTGAAGGTGGTTGAAGCCACAGAGCGTAGTATAGATATCTTAGCGCGCTACTATATAATAAGTCTCGGCTAAGACGCACGGCTATTGAGAGGAGTTCTAACAATCTTTGACTTTTTGTACGGAGAAACTGCTGGAATGCACATTTATTACTAGAATTTGACTCTATAAGACTATAATCTTGATCTTTGTTATCTAGACTCGCTTTCTAGCCCACCGAAATCTTCGTAGAGGTACATCGACGCCTACGAGCAGGGGGATATTGGAGGAGAGTTAGTTAACAAGACTAATACATAACATGAACGATAGTATAGCCGACAACGTGTTTTTCGGCGCTGGATGCTGATATGCTAGAAAACGAAAGTTATAGAATAGATGCAACCTAGACCTATTTATTTACAAGTATGTTGGAAGCGTTCCGAACGCCCGAAAGAGAAAGTGTCCCGTCACGCAGGGTGTCTCGCCACGCAGGGATGGACGTTACGCATGCTATTTTTTTTGAAGGAAGCGTTGGTTGTGTCCTAAAATGGGAAGGAGGGTTTGTAAATGTCGAAGCGATTGCTATGGCATGATCTGCTTTTTTTTGCGCTCATTGATAGAAACAATTCGATAATGTATGATGACATTCTGAACTGAACGTATCAAATGTAGAAATCCCCCCCAAAAAGGGCAGTGTGGAATCTTAACAAGTGACCACGTATCCTTAAATCGTCTTTAATCAAATGGCAAAAGGATGAATTCGGACTATTTTATCAATTCACATTGGTCACAAGGTTACAACCCTTCATAATCTCATCCTATACGTCTTCTCCGCCCAACAACCTCAAGCGTTGCAATGCAACAACCACTTAGAAGCAGAAAACCTGATCCTCAAGCTTACTAACCGGCCTCGCCTTCTCGAAACCCAGACTCTCCGTCGCCTTCTTCATAGCCGCAACCATAGGCGGAGGCCCACAAATCAGAATCTTGACATCCTTGGCTGGGGCTGGAAGCTTCTCCTTGATCATATCAGCGGTCACGAAGCCAACGCCTCCGTTCCACTTCTCAGGTGGGTTGTTGAGCACGTAGTGGACTCGGAACTTAGGGTCCTTGGCAGCGAGCGCATCGAGTTCGTCTTTGAGCAGGATATCCTCAGGGTTGACGTTGGCAAAGATGAGATCGACCTCGGTCTTGTCGCCTGTTGGTCGTCCGCGCATAATGGCCTTGGCGATTTGCAGCATGGGGGTGATTCCGGTGCCTCCGGCAATCATACCAAAGTGTCTGACCATGTTGGGAGTGTATACCATGGCGCCCTTGGGGCCTCGGATCTTCATTTTGTCGCCGACCTTGAGTTCGGTTACATATTTGGAGATGTTGCCGGTGGGGTACGACTTGATGATGAGGTCGACATGGCCCTTGTCTTCGTCGGAGGTGATGGGGGTGTACGAGCGGACGACTTCCTTCGGCTGGCCGGCGATCGTGGCGGCAAGAGAAATGTGCTGGCCGATGGGGAGGCCGAGAATATCAGTTGGGCGGGGCAGTTTAAAGCGGTAAATGGCCGTGTTGTGCGAGATGACTTGCTTGTGCTCGAGTTCAAACTCCTGGAACTCGGTGGGCTTGAGCACTTTGCGGGGCGCTGGGTGGGTTTAGTTTAAAATGTTACTTTTGTTTGTCCTGGGATGCTCTTACCGCTACTGCTGCTGGAGTATACGAGGTAGCCACCCACAATGGCGACCAAGGCCACCGCAAACGGTAGGAGATCCATAACTGATACCATTGTCAACGCGCGTAGGAACCGGCGTCTAAGGGCTTAAAAGAAGAAAAGGGAGGGGAAGCCAGTGGATGGGCTGGAATGATTCCCGAAAGGGTCGCATTCCGAAGACAGGCCCGCTAAACACATGCCCCGCTTCCATTGGCTGTAGTTGCGAGACTTGGCATGCTTAGCTCTCTCTCGGGGACTGGATGCGCGTTTCGGGAAACTCGACCCACATCACGTGCTGACCGTATGATAATCGTGGCCGGGGTCTGTTGTCTGAATTCCTACACTACGATACACCAAGTTCATGTGACTAGCACAGCAGAGCCGCGGCAAACGCAGCAGCCAGGACAACTGTAATACTGGCCGTCATGGTGCCTGCCGTACCCGTAGCATCTGTTCCCTCCGGTCCAGCACCGTCCGACGGTTTGGAACCTTCACCGTTCTCTACCGGGCTGCCAGTAGCATTGGATCCTTGAATCTTTGTCTGCGAATACAACAAGCCTTGCACGACCTCCATTGCACTGAATACCTCACCCAAGTTCCCACCGCTAGCAGTGTTATGCTCCCATCTGCTTTCTGGATCTACCCAACTCAGCGAGCATGCAACATCGCCTGTCTCTCCGTTTTCTCCCTGACCCTTGCTACAAGACTTGGCTGCGCCTTCGGCCGATTTCTTCAGCATCAACGCTAAAGGGCCTGTCACAGTGGGTGCAGCAACTACAGCACGGGCATAAGAACGAGCGGCAACGCCTTTGAAGGCCCGATGATCCACACCGCATTTGCCGTCGTTTTCGCAAGCGCTCTCTACGAGAACGCCATTTTCAAGGAAACGAGATGTAGAATTTACAAATCCCTTGACTGCATCGGCCCATTTCTGTTTACCATCCGTCTAACAAAGTGTTTAGTCGCTTTTCAAATAAATGTATAAGATTGTACTTACGATGTTGTATAGGACGGCGGCGCCCTCAGTGAAAAGTCCGTGGTTATAGGTGAATTGGACTTGGTTGAATGAAGTGCAATTCTCTTCTCCATCGGCGCCGTCGTAGATATCGTAATCGTCTGTGATAAATCCCCTTTCATGTGCCCAATCAAATATCTTCTCGGCCCATTCAGTATAGGTGCCGTTGCCGGTGAACCTCGCAAGGCGAGAGGCTAGGAGAAAGAAGTTTCCGTTCGAGGCCATCTGCTTATAGCTGGATCCCACGTTGAAGCTGTAGATCGCCATAGAAAGACCACCGTCACAGAGTGAATTGTTCCATCGCATGGTCATGACATCAAACACAGAGATGGCCGCGTCTACCCATGATCCATTCACAGGGTTTGGAAATCCAAATTCCGTAGCGCTCATCGCTGCCTGCGCCCAGGCGCACTGGTCGTCGTTGGTCATGGTTGCAGTCTGGTTCAGCGCCATGAAGGCAAAGTCGTTGCCTCGCTGCCATTGAATACCTTCCCAGACCAACCCGTCGTATTGCTTGTCGCCAGTCAAACTCGAATATCCGATCAGTCCATCCAGTACGATGCCGGCCTCCCACCAATAGTACTCCTCGGAGAAAACGCCAGGGATTCCAGATTCGGAAACACTCGCGTTGTAGTATTTTACTATGCCACTTGCCAGGGTCTTTGCAGTATCGACAATTGAATCTGCAAATGTTAGGGGTTGGTTCAGCACATGAGAAAACGGGCCATGTTACCTCTACTGTTGATGTCCAAGCCAAGGACAGCGACATTGCCATAGAGGCATGAAAGAGCGAGCGATAGCACAGCTGTGCGTGCAAACATGGTGAAAAACAGCAAAAACACGAAACGAATGACTGTGGTTACGGAGAGGCAAGGAACGAGGCTGCGAGGAACGAAAAAGCTTTGAGTTTAGTCTACCGATTATGGCTGAGGGCGGTTTGACATTATTCTAGTGCTTCTCGCGTGGACCCGAGTTGCGGCGCTTGACGATACGACCAATGGTGTTCTGCCGTTAAATGATGCAGCATGCCTTAATTCCAAAGGGGCGCCTGTTCTAGGCAACAAGGGGCTCGCCATCCGAGCTTCAGCGCCACATATTCTATTTTCTGCTTGAAAAATCCCTTTGATATGCATATCATTGGCCGTGCAAGTTGGAGGATAGACACAGCCTTGTTACAGTCGTGTCAGGTGATTTTTTGCACAATCCCCATCTTTGCAACCAAAGCCTCGGCAATATCATGTGCGAATCCTTCGTCGTTGATTGCTCGGTCATCTTCCATGATATCAACTCCACTTCCTTGAAGACCACTCTCAATAGCATCAAAGAGCGCAGCATCGGCTTTTGTATCTTCAAATGGCCCTCCAGGTGTTGCAATCATACTGATTCCTCCCTTTGGAAGCCAAATCTGCACCGCCTGTGGATTCTTTGCATGTTTCTTTAACTGACTCGCAATGAATTCACCAACTCGTCTTGCTTCATCTTCTGATGTCCTCATCAACGTCACAACTGGATTATGCTCGTACAGCTTACGGCCCTTGTGGCGCTCTGGGACGGTACTCTTTGGGCCGAAATTCGTCATATCTGTAGCACCCACAGATATAATGGTTGGTATCCCAGCTTCTGCAGCAGCTTCTAAGCGATGTTCTCCTGCGCTCATGACACCACCGGTAAGGTGATCGCATATCTCTGTTGTTGTAAGATCGAGTACTGCGTCAAGGCCCCCTTCTCGAACAAGTCGCTCCATAGCCTTTCCACCGTGCCCAGTGGCATGGAACACATAGGTTTCAATGTCGTAGTTGGCCTCCAAATGCCTTCGAATCGCGTCCACAGCTGGGGTGGTGACACCAAACATTGTGATGCCAACACGCTTCTTCTGTAGCTGAGTTGTATCCCTACTCTTTGATACATATGTTCGAGACATACCAGCAATAGCAGCTCCAGCGTTGCTCAGGACGTTTTGAAGGACTTGGTTTAAACCAGCCACATCAACAACGCTGTACATCATTGTGATATCCGTTTCTCCAACGATTGGACCCGTGTCACCGCTCGCTACGGTTGAAACAATTAGCTTTGGAAAGCCAATTGGTAGAGCATTCCTCATCACTTCTGCGGCGAGTGATGTACCACCTGAGCCACCTGCGTTGATCAAGCCATGTATTTTTCCTTCCTCATAAAGCTTCTTGACGGTTTTAGTAGCACAGCCCGCCATGGCCTTGATGACCTCGCCTCGTGGCAGATCGCTGACCTTTTCCCCATCGCCAAAATCGTTCAGTAGCTGCTGTTGGGTAATATCGATAGCTCCGTGTTCGATGGGGTTGCGGCCCACATCAATAACTATCACACTAGCATCATTCCGCTGAATGCTATCACGTAAAAAAAGCAACTCTTCCAATTTCGTATCAAAGGTACCAATGAGTGCAACGCAAGGAGGAGGAGACATGCCGATAGATGTAGATAAAGAATAGGGGGCGATAAAATCAACTCCACGGGAATGCCAGTGGGTCCCAAGTAGTCATCCTCATGTAATGCATGCATCCCCCGCGCCAGAAATGACGTCATCACATACTACTACACTTCCTCAATCGTCCCTAGAACCAACGTGATCGCCGCATCGTCTTCAAAGTCACGGCATCGTCTAATCTTTGGTAATTCTATTATTCGGAACATATTAGCTATGTCTCCACCAAACGACCGCACATCCATCCTAGAAAACCTCCGTTCTCAGATCAAAAATGGAAAAATCATCGTCGGTGCTGGCGCGGGTATTGGTCTCAGCGCCAAATTCATCGAGGCAGGTGGCGGCGATCTGATTATAATATATAACAGCGGGAGATACCGCATGGCAGGGCGCGGGTCGCTGGCTGGATTGATGCCGTACGGTAATGCAAATGATGTTGTGCTCGAAATGGTAAGTTATATACATAAACCTGCACATTACTTTATCTCGCAGAGAAGATGATACACTGGTGGCTTACACGTCGTAGGCCGGCGAAGTCCTCCCCATCGTCAAATCAACACCCGTGCTCGCAGGTGTATGTGCCACAGACCCTTTCCGCGACATGTCGCGTTTCCTGAAGCAGCTGAAGGATCTCGGATTCGCGGGGATCCAGAATTTCCCTACTGTAGGCTTGATTGATGGGACGTTTCGCCAGAATCTCGAGGAGACGGGTATGTCGTATGATGCTGAAGTCGAGGTTGTCAAGATGGCGCGGGAGATGGATCTCTTGACTACGCCGTACGTATTTAATGTAAAGGAGGCGAAGAAGATGGCGAGTGCGGGTGCGGATGTGCTGGTTGCGCATATGGGGTTGACTACGTCGGGGAGTATTGGGGCGGCGACGGGGAAGAGTCTGGATGAGTGCGTGGAGTTGATTCAGGAGATTCGGGATGCGGCGACAGGGATCAAGGATGATGTTATTATCCTGTGCCATGGTGGTCCGATTGCGAAGCCAGAGGATGCAGAGTATGTTATTAGTCGGACGAAAGGTGTGCATGGCTTCTACGGTGCGAGTTCCATGGAGAGATTACCAGTCGAGGAGGCTATTACCAATATTACGAAGACGTTCAAGGGAATAGATGCAAAACCGTAGGTGTAGAACTACGAAATGAACAAAATCAAGCGATCTCTGAACTGTCAATTTGTCTATTACTATGCACCAAACCACGGTATTAATAACTTATAAAGTATAACGGAAATCCGGATGACGATCGCCCAGTTTCCCATAGTCAATATCCCTGATCCTTTCTTCAATAGTCATTCTCTCCCTGTTTCTATTGATCCTTGCCTCGTATCTGCCGCCACAATAGCCGACCCTGGGCAGATCGAGTTAAAGGCCATGCTGAATGGCGAAATGATGCAATATTAGCTAGCAGACGATATGATACTCAGCATCCCGGAAATTGTGGCCTATCTCAGTCAAGTGACGACGCTGAAGCCAGGTACATTGATCATGACTGGCACGCCACATGGCATTAGAGCGAGCGAAACACCAAAGGTATAGTTGAAAACCTAGGATGATTTAAGAATTGTGATGAGCTATGGCATTGGAAGTCTAGTAACCCTAGTTGTTTACGAAGCGCAACCCAAGCTCAGATAATTCAGAAAAACATTCAACTCATCTAAACCGGTGCATGGCTGAGATGCAGTCATTGAGTTAGATGTTCCCGCACGTCATTGGTCAAAAGCCTGTCAAAATAAGACTTAGGATTATTGGAACCCGAAAAGCATTTGTTCTTAAGTGATACTGTCGAGAATATTCTCCAATTGCTGCACGTCTGTAGATGGGTCACCCCAAGGAGACGCTTGCCATTGAAAGGGGCCTCCTGCACCAAAGTTGAGTAGACCTGGTAGTGCTTCTTAGCTGTCTGATATTTCTAGAAAACCCAAACTGTTATTATTGTCTTGTTCTCCGGATTGCATACAGTTCGAGCATCCACCATTGTACCGAGGCGTGTTCCAAGTGATGTTCCCGCCCTATTGCTGCTACCGCAGTTTTCACGAAACTGCTTTGATTTCTTGATGCACAGTTCGATAATCTTGACTTCTGCAAGTGAAAACTCATCCAGCCAGATGTCTCCGCGTTGTATATCGCAACAAGCAGTGAGATCTTCTAGTATCGCGTCACATTGATCCGAATGTGGATCTTTGACAGCAATAATTCCCAAAACTAGCGCGCTGTTGAACAAATGATGAGGCCCCAGGCTCCAATTTTGGCCGATCGTGTAAGGACTGTTGAAGGTAGTTAACGCGCATTGCGACATCAGCACAGGCTGATGAAATGCAAGCATCGTGACTGTATCGGAAGCGACCTGTGATACTTTGGCGTAACAGATATGGGCGATGGAGTGTAACGCGAACAGAGTGGTACATCGAGTGAAGGTATAAGCGATTCCAAGGTATCAGAGTCTTCGATGCGATAGTACTCTGGTAATCTGGCTGCCTACTCAAGAATCTCCTGATCCAGGGAAAGAACAGTATTTTACGAGGATGTCGACAGACCAAAGCAGCGTTGTTGAATGCTACCAACAATTGTTGCCAAATCATGAGCTAGGAAATTACAGACACTCAGGGTGGGCTTGGAAAGCGGCAGCACGGGTAGAGCCGCAGCACGTCCTTCTGGTTCATCATCTAGCCAGACATTGGTTGCCCGTTGGACGAGGCATTGCTGATCGACGATTGCAAACGGGCGGCCAATGGCCAACGCGATTCTCTTGTCTAACGTATACAAATGGCTCCAGAGTCGTCTTCAGGTCTCTGTCTCTTTTCGCAGCAGTCGCCATCGCTCGCCATCGATATGCATTCTTTGTGCTTGGGCCATGCGCATAGCGAAACTGGTTGTCAACCAGAACTCTGGAGCTCGTCACATGTTTATGAGGTAGCGCGTTACTAAGACGCCAGCACGAACAAGATCTGTTGACTCGCCGTAAAATGTCGGCGCGATCACAATGGCTCGTCGGGAAGCCCAGTAGAAGCGAAGAGATGTTTCCTGCAAGTTTCGCTGAACTTCAGCGTTCTTCGGGTGTGGGCAGTCTACACAAGTCGATGGATGCGTAGTTGTCAAAGCCAAATTTCCGCTCCCAAAACTCCGCATACTTGGTCTTGAATGAAGCAGAATGGATTGCATCAATGGTCCAGTTGGGCTCAACAATAAACACATCAACCAGTCGGTTAACATTGGCTCTGTTTCGAGGCAATATACCCAGTAGATCCCATATTTGTGAAAAAGGGCCACCAACGTCTCGGAAAGACTGCGCTGAAACTGATGCGTGGCGGATGCTAGATGAGAGATATGGTGCAGGTTCTTCGATTATTTTGGCTGCAACCTGGGGTCCGAAGTAAGATGAACTGAAGAAAGAAGGGGCATCTCTACTCCTGAACATATTTCCGACCTGTTCGTCCCTGGGTTCCGGCAAGACCCTGTTGCACGAAGCAGCAGCCTGATGACCTTGGTATAGTTTTAGTTAAGAGGTCTTGGTATACGACGCGGATAGCCTAGGCACAACTCACTCGAAACAGTGCCAGCGATATTTCCAGTGATTGGTTCGGTATTACTGAGGGTAAATACATTTACCGATTGCTGGCGGTGGGCCTCAGCTTCTTCGCTGTATTTGCAGTACGAGGCTGCATCCCGTCGTGTACAGTTAAAGCATGGAAACTTTCCGTCACACTGTACCTCTGGTCAGTCTTTGGTCGCTTACTCTCGGCCATGATATGTTTGGGCTATGGGGCGTCCACTGTATCATCATCAAGTAGACCAACATGACTCTTGGAGCTCACGAGGTTCTTTCAGCAACGACGTCATAGTGTGTGTTCCTGATTATGTCATACGTGCCTTCTGTTTCCTCCTGCCACACGTTACACAACTCTTAGCCTGTCGTCCTCTCTTCCTCTTCTTTCTTAGCGACCCACTATCAGTTCTCTCCACTCGGTCTCCGACATGCTCATCAATCGTGGAACACAGCAACGTCTAGAGGATGCAAAGGATTTGCTGATAAGTATCCGCTTAGTATTGATATGGCAATATGGACCCCATCTCTTGACTAGTTGAATTGTGATAAGAAGATAATACCAAGGAGTCACAAGATACCTATTTCATTGAAACAGGCGCAAAGCAATCGATTTTATCTCCAGCCAGATTGTTGCGTTGCCCTATTGATCGGCAAATTCAAAAGAATTCCAAACACCCGTGTGACCGTAGAAAGGGCCCGCCAGACCTATAGGGATGTGTGCAACCACACCAGCAGAATGCCGCGCATCACTCCGATCTCGGGGGTTTGCTCTAAAAATACCCGTTTGGACATACTGAATCTAGAAATTCGATACTTGATAGTGGCTTCTGAGGTTTATTGGACATGTTTCTACCATACGGTCAATTATCGCGTGGTCAAACTCATTCAAGCACCCCTAGAAGTACTTTCTCGACTGTACTAGCTGAGCATAAAAAGACCGGGTTATGGGAGTGCTGCCTACCCAAAGCTTTGATAAAAGGCTATAATGCGCAATCGCACCAATGGCTCGGTAACCGACCATTTCAGAGCCCTTATCAACGGGCAAATAGTGTGCAAAAGAATTCCCGACAACCCTGACAAGGCCCATTCATGTCGGAAGTGGCGTATGTAGATATTACAGTAGATGTCATCAAGCTCAAGCTACCGCTATGACATGATTTGGATGACAAAAGCCGCCGCGGGGTAGCATCGCGTACCCCACTTAAAGCTCTCGCTGGGAGCGTATATGCAGCCGCGTCCAACCTGCATATCGTGTCACATCGTATTTTGGCATCATTCTTCGCTCATTCTTGGTTTTGGCTTTCTCCCGTGTTAACTGATGACCTTCAATCCTTTAGGGTCTGTCTAACAACCACTTTCGCATTTCGTGTGCGCGACATAATTCCTAGGCACAACCATGGCCGCGCCAAAGATTGCACAGCGGGGAATCCGCATTGCCATTGATGTACGAAGTCCTTTTCTCTGGTTTGGAAGAATCCATGGCTAATTACTGGATATTTAGCGTGGTGGCACATTTACAGACTGCGTGGGCAATCCCGGAACAGGCAAGATGGAAGACGATGTTCTTATCAAACTTCTTTCTGTTGACCCGTCCAACTACGATGACGCGCCGCTCGAAGGTATCCGTCGCCTCCTTTCCAAATTCACAAGCACCGAAATTCCTCGCGGACAACCACTAGACACGTCCAAGATTGAGAGTATACGCATGGGCACAACGGTCGCTACGAATGCACTGCTGGAACGCAAGGGCGAGGATATCGCCATGGTTGTGACAAAGGGTTTCAAGGACTGTCTCGAGATTGGAAACCAAAGTCGACCCAATATTTTCGCCCTGGATATCCGGAAGCCAGAGGTACTCTACAAAAGGGTCGTAGAGATTGATGAGCGTGTTACGCTGGAGGATTATGCCGAGGACCCAGAAAGGAATCAGACGCAAGCTGCCAGTATTGAAGAGGCTGGCGACGAAGCTGAACTGGTCAAAGGATTGTCTGGCGAGACAGTGCGCATATTACAAAGGCCTCAAGAACAAGCAATTAGAAAGCAACTCCAAGAGGTGTATGATAGTGGGTTGAAGAGCATAGCTGTGTGCTTGATGCACGGCTACACATATCCAAAACATGAAGCCTTAGTGGGCAAGATTGCAAGAGAAATCGGGTTTGAGCATGTCAGCTTAAGTCACGAGCTCATGCCCATGATTAAGCTGGTTCCACGAGCAACCTCTGCGTGTGCAGATGCCTATCTAACACCCGCGATACGAAAGTACATTGATGGCTTCTCCAAGGGTTTTGAGGGCGGGCTTGGTACCAAGAGCGTAAAGCGCGAAGAAGGCTCCAAGGGTGCGCGATGCGAGTTCATGCAATCTGACGGCGGTCTTGTAGATGTCGACATGTTCTCGGGCCTTAAAGCCATCCTGTCGGGACCTGCTGGTGGAGTTGTGGGCTATGCACTAACGTCCTATGACCCGCAGACCAAAATACCCGTGATTGGATTCGACATGGGCGGTACCAGTACTGATGTCAGCCGATATGGCGCTGGGCGATACGATCACGTCTTTGAGACCACAACTGCCGGAGTCACTATCCAGTCACCGCAACTCGACATCAACACAGTCGCAGCCGGTGGTGGATCGCGTCTCTTCTGGAAGAATGGCCTTTTTGTTGTCGGCCCAGAATCTGCAAGCGCACATCCTGGCCCAGCATGCTATCGAAAAGGTGGCCCATTGACTATTACAGATGCGAACCTGTTCCTTGGTAGGCTATTGCCTGACTTCTTTCCCAAGATCTTCGGAAAGAACGAGGATGAGGGCCTGGACGCGCAAGCCAGCGAGAAGCTGTTCAAAGAGTTGGCAGATCAGATTAATAAGGAGATTGCTGGATGCAACAAGGAAAAGGAAATGTCGCTGGATGACATTGCAAATGGTTTCATCAAGATCGCAAATGAGACTATGACGCGACCCATTCGTAGTTTGACTGAAGCGCGAGGCCACGACACGTCGAAACACCGACTTGCAACCTTTGGTGGAGCCGGTGGACAGCACGCTGTTGCCATCGCTGAAGCTCTCGGTATTTCGCAGATTCTCGTTCACAGATACTCATCAGTACTATCTGCATACGGAATGGCCCTTGCTGATGTCGTCGACGAAAGGCAAGAGCCAGAGTCAAAGGTCTGGTCCGATGAAAAGGATGTGAGGGAATACTTGCAAGCCAAGATGGCAGACTTAAAGAGTAAATCAACAGCTACACTTAAGGATCAGGGCTTTGATGAGGAGCACATTCACTTTGAAGAGTACCTCAACTTGCGCTACCGGGGGACTGAGTCAGCGCTCATGATCATCAAGCCAAGCAAAGAAGAGGCCCAGCAAGAATATGGTGGTGATGAGTGGGCTTTTGGAAAAGCTTTCGTTAAGCAACACGAGCAAGAGTTTGGTTTCACACTGCCAGACCGCGACATCATCGTGGATGATGTCAGAGCACGAGGCATTGGAAAGACCTTTGAAGGGTTGGAAAAGAGCGTGGATCAGCAACTGAAGGAGATCAAGCCCAAAGACCTTCAAGGTGATGCAAAGCGCTACGATACACGCAAGGTGTTCTTCGAGGGCGGTCGGCAAGATACCTCTGTGTACAAGCTTGAAGACCTTGAGGTTGGAGATCGCCTGAAGGGCCCGGCCATTATTGCAGACGGCACACAGACTATCGTCGTTACTCCTGGTGCTACTGCGCTCATCATCAACACACATGTTGTGATAAACATTGGTGAGACTGAAGATCAAGAAAAACAGGTTGACACAAAGGAAGTGGATCCAATTCTGCTTAGTATCTTCGCTCACAGGTTCATGGCTATTGCCGAGCAAATGGGTCGTGCCCTGCAGAAGACTAGTGTATCTACCAACGTCAAAGAGCGATTGGACTACTCTTGTGCACTTTTTGACGCAGATGGCGGGCTAGTCGCAAATGGTGAGCTTCACGTCTATGGAGTCTAATAACGCTAACGCACCTATAGCACCCCATCTTCCTGTCCATCTCGGAAGCATGTCGACATGTGTCCGCAAACAAGCAGCTATCTGGAAAGGCAAGCTCAAAAAGGGGGACGTACTAGTTTCCAACCACCCTATGTTTGGCGGTACACATCTACCGGATATCACCGTTATAACGCCAGCATTCAGTAGTGACAATATCGTCTTCTATGTCGCCTCTCGCGCACATCATGCTGACATCGGTGGTATCCTTCCTGGTTCGATGCCTCCGGCTTCCAAGGAGCTCTACCAAGAAGGCGCTGCTATCAAATCAGAGAAGCTCGTATCAGAAGGCCACTTTAATGAAGAGCGCATCACCGAGCTACTGCTTGATGAACCTGGTCAATATCCCGGATGCTCTGGCACTCGATGCCTTAGTGACAACATCAATGATCTGAAGGCTCAAGTCGCCGCTAACCAGAAGGGTATTAACCTCATCAGTACGCTCATGTCTGATTACGGCGAGGAAGTTGTCAAGTTCTACATGACCAATATCCAAGCCAATGCTGAGAAATCTGTGCGAGCATTACTCAAAGACGTGTACAAGCGTTTTGAGGGCCAAGACCTGAGTGCGGAGGAATTCATGGATGATGGAAGTCCTATTCGCCTCAAGGTTTCGATTGACCCAGAAAAGGGTGAAGCCATCTTTGACTTTTCAGGAACAGGTCCCGAGGTCTATGGCAACATCAACGCCCCTGAAGCTGTCACTTACTCGGCCATCATATACTGTCTGCGCTGTCTGATCAGTGAAGATATCCCATTGAACCAAGGTTGTTTGAAGCCAATCCACGTTCTCATTCCTAAGAAATCTTTCCTCTCGCCATCAGATAACGCGGCTGTTGTGGGAGGCAACGTACTCACGAGTCAGCGCGTTACGGACGTCGTGCTGAAAGCCTTCCGCGCCTGTGCTGCCAGTCAAGGCGACTGCAACAATCTTACGTTTGGTTTCGGCGGTACAACATTCGGAGAAGGAGCAAAGAGTGGAGAGAGGAAAGAGACCAAGGGATTTGGATACTACGAGACTATTGCTGGAGGGTCTGGTGCAGGTCCCACATGGAACGGAACCAGCGGCGTGCATACACACATGACCAATACCCGCATCACCGACTCTGAAGTGTTTGAGCGCCGATACCCTGTTCTGCTCCGAGAATTCTCACTCAGACAAGGTAGCGCAGGACGCGGAATGCACATTGGTGGCGAAGGAGTCATCCGCGACATTGAATTCCGCATCCCAGTCCAAGTTAGCATCTTGAGCGAAAGAAGAGTCTACCATCCATACGGTATGGAAGGCGGAGGCGACGCCGCCTGCGGTCTCAACATCTGGGTTCGCAAAGTCGACAAAAAAGCTATTGACCAGAACTCGGACTCCAAGAAACCCACCGAACCTCAAGAATCGGCTCCGCGCGCGCCCACGACGTCAAGTGACGTGGAGACTCTGGAGAAGAAGGATGCTGCGAGAGATAGGAAAGAAGATGTGGAGTATAGGTATATCAATCTTGGTGCGAAGAACACAGCTAGTATGCGGCCTGGTGAGCGCATCATTATTCATACGCCTGGAGGTGGTGGGTGGGGCAAGGAAGGAGAGCAGAATAGGCTGCAGGATAAGAAGGATCCCAAGCAGAGTTGGAAGGGGGGTAGTGTGGCGGGTCGGCAGAGTACGGCTGAGGCTAGCGCATAGAAGGGTGTAGATATGTACGTCTAGGTTGTGTTGGTCCGTCAATATTGAGATTCAAAGTTTATATCGTGCAAGAGTTCAGTGTTCGATATGAGGGAATAGTATATTTACAAATGCCCAGATAATCAGGCGAGTCTGCCTAATTGCACTGTCGTAATATCATTACCTATTGTCTTTTCCTTCACACATTCCAGCCTATGTCACAAATTCATTACAAAAACAATCAAACAAACAAATTAATTCATAAACATTACCCCTCAACTTTCGCATCTCCCTTCCTCGCCCGCACAAACTCTTCACCCTCATAAAACCCAATCATATCCCTCCAGCCCTGCTCCCACTCCTCCTTCATCCAGCCCCCCTCCGCAACCCAAATCTTCTCATGCACAACCTTCAAGTTCCCCTTCTCCTCCTCCTTTGGAAAAAACCCACCCCAAGTCCTCTCGAGCTTCGTCGCTGGGAAAGCTGAAGCGGGGCTAAACTGCCAGTTCAAAAACGCTTGTTCAGCCATTTTACAATCGTATTTGTCTGTCTTGACGTAGTTTTGCAGGAGGCGCTGATGCATGCGTAGGGAAGGGGTGAAGAGCATAGATCCAACGTTGATATTCGGGTGCTCGGTGTTAAATGGATCTTGTGGGATGCCAGCGAAGATGTAGTCTTCGCAGACGGGGCCGTCGGCGAGGAAGTCATCTAGATGCAATTTCTCCGGTATGCAAGGACTTGATTTAGGGAGGACAGTGGTGAAGATTTCGTCAAGGGGGCTGAGAGGAAAGGCGTCGGCGTCGAGGAAGAGAATGCGGCTGAATTCTGTTTCTCGCCACATGTGCAGTTTGGCGAAGAGGTCTTTCCAGCGGTGTTGCACGCCGGCGACGTTGGGGAACCAGGGGAGAGGCGCGAGTTCGCGGACTAGGGCGCCGGCGCCGGAGAGGAGCGCGCGTTGTTCTGGGGTGACGAAGTCGGCGACGAAGACAACGAAGGGGTGTTTTTGGGTGCGGGATTTGGGGGACCAGAGGAGGCGGTAGATGAGGGAGTGGATGGCGAGGAAGTAGGGGTCTTTGAGGGAGGTGTTGCGGGTTGCTAGGAAAGTAGCATAGGCGTACTTTTCTGTGCCTCCGGGGACATAGTTGTGGGGTTCGTGGGTGCTGAAGCGCTGTAGTACTGGGATTGGAAGGAGTAGGTCGAGATCTTTCTGGAATGCGTATTCGGGCTCTAGGACGGTTTGTCCATCGAGAGACGAGTTTTCCAGCAACGGAGGTGTCGTCGAACTATCGCCTTCCGAGTCTCCTTGAGCTGGTGAACCGTCGTCATGTAGGGTCACGGACTTCTCAGGGTCCGCTCCTGACCCAGATGCATAATGAGAATGTGAGGAAGGTTTTAAATCAGATGGTAGTACTTCGATCCCAGTATTACTCTCTTTGGTATCATACGATGCATGAGTAACATGCGTATGCCGGTATTCACTGCGGTGCTGTGCAACCAGCAAGATTGTACCGAGGAATGCAACTGTAGCCAAAGCAATATTGTGCCGCCGCCTCATGGTAAAGGGACAAATTGGTACTTCACAGGCGCTCTCCGACGTCTGATCAAAAGCAGATGGTGGTCGGAATCCTCTTCGTCACATGTGTTAATCGGGGCATGGACGCAGATGCATAGGCGCAAGCATCCGAGGTTGAGCGGGCACCGGCGATATGCAGTCTCGTACGTACGCTGCAAAGGAAATTGATAGTCGACGGTATTGGTACCTGATTTGGTCATTGCCGACGAAAGGGCAAAGATCAGCGGCAGGGCAGGGACCATGGTTCTTGACCAGGAGCTGAGGCCCCCATGGTGACTGACTCGGCGGAGTACGCCTCTTTCGACCATCAATACAACGGGCGCCTATGCTGTGTCACGTCCCGCCCCTTCAGCACCTGCAGTAGTGCGGCGTAACATCAACTCCCGAGGAATGTAGCTGAACGGTCACATGAAGCCGAATATTCTTATTGAGATCGACAGCAAACGTTGGAAGCATCGCAATATGATCAGGATTGTAATGAAGGGTTTGGGGTCCAAGAATGATTTGTTCAATATCGATACTTCTGGTTGCAGCTACATACCGACTTATCGTGTTGATTGGCTACGCTGATGCCCCGGCTTCGTCTGTTGAGAAAGCGCCTTTTTGTAAAGCCAATTGGTAAACTTGACACTTGGCTCGTCGACCAACCTTGTCACGACTTCTGCAAAATACAATGTGATAGATAGGAGAATGGGCTGGAGTAACCAAAAAGCCAATTCCAGCCCTAGTGGGCCATTGGCAGGCAGGGGGAATTTGTTGACCCACTCCGGTATCCCTTCGGCGTGAGCCGATCTCGTAAGGCCCACCAATGCATACAGTCGGTCAGCGACGATCCAGATAACAACCCCATGTACCAAGTACAGCGCAAAAGATACGCGTCCAAGATATTGACAGAAGCGCGTCTCGAAGAATTGCTTGAGCCATGGCAAGCGAGGCACTGCTGCGACCGCGAAGAATGCTGCCCAGAAGAGATAGAACCATTTCGCATCAAATACTGCCTGAGGTTTGAGATGCGACAACCAGATCCATCCTGGCGACTTGGTGAGGAAAGCAGCGCGATCCGCTTCAGACACGTCATAGGAGGGCACACCACTGAGGTAGAGAGAAAAGACAAACATGTGGAAGAAGATAAACTCCTTAAAGTTCGCCAGAGCGGAAAACAATCGCGGAAGTTTGTCCTGCTGTGCGAGCAAATCAAGGTCGCAAAGCAACATTCCAGAAATGAACATTGCGCCGTAGTAGCCGTCCGCGATGTAGAGGAAGTAGAATATCAGAGCGGCCTCGCAGCAGAGCCGGGAGTTCTTTGTGCACCTAGAGAGTGCGGAGAGTGCGGTATAGATAATGATAGATCCTTTGAATTCAATGGGGATCGACCAGACGTGCGCATGGAACTGTGTAGCAAAACCATAGATCTCGGTGGAAAAGACAAAGCTGTAGTTTTTGAACATGTGGTACCATTTGATCAGTTCTTTCCAGTATGTATCTTCCATTGGCTGCAAGTCAACCCACAATCCGCTCCATTGGCGGATAGACATGAGTGCGAGGGTAATCGCAACGACGGGCAGGTAAAGTCGTAGCCAACGGCGGAAGAGAGCGGAACCGATACTGTCTGCAGCACTGACAGCATGGCCGTCCTGGATCATGCGCAGACTTTTGAGGGAAAGCACATAACCAGATATGACGAAGAAGACGGCAACAGCAAAATGGCCACCAGAGAAGAAGATGCGTACGAATGGCAGGGCTGCGAAATAGTGTTTTCCCTCGTAGCCGTAGGCATTTTCGAAGACAGAGTTACCACGTTCCCCGTGAGCCCAGAGTTGGTGATGGTGCAGATAGACCAGGAGTGCAGCGAAGCCTCTTAGACCGTCCAGCCATGCTGTTGGCCTAATTGGCTTGGTTTTTGAGGCCTGCCGCAAGGAGAGAAATTCCGGGCGTACAATATCGAGGCCCCATTTGGCCGTTCGAACTGGCTTCCAGATTGATGGTGAAAGTTTGATTTCTTCGATACCATTTTGGTCCAGCAACCCGTTGTATTTGGTAGGCATTTTCGGTGGTGAAAAAAAGTAGATACAATTGAGGGATCTCAGGAATTGAGATGGAATCGAGCAATACTGGGTACTCGAAAGTCCCTAGATATTCAAGATCGTAATAGAGTGGGCAATTGATGCGCAATTGCAGGATTTGCACGACTCGTCCGAAGCATGTCTGATTGCCCAGATGAACGCGACCAAGCCAGGATCGTTCGGCAGCAGTATTTGGGCACGGACAGTTTCGAGTGTGACATTGCTCAATCCGGCGACACACCTCAAATATCTCTTACTCACGAGATGCAATGCGGGGGCTGTCAAGGGACAGATACCTAACATGTCCAAGCGACCGATGAACTTGCAGGGGGTCAAATTTATAAGCTTTAACCCACCCGTCTTGGTACCGGCGTTGTACTAGTACACTACTAGTTTACCAGGATGGACTCTTAGCCTCAAGGGCATATGCGGGGTTACGTGCTTTTTTGTGAGGCTGCCCCTGCATGTGAAAAGAGATTGATATGCCGAGGGTGAAGGCAAGGAGTGTATTGGTCGACGCGGTCGCATGGGTATACTCTAGGCCAGAGGCTCGTATCCCCGGTATTGCATTGAGACGATCGATAATAGTTGTGGAATGGCTGGGTCAAATTGGCAGGTTCCCAATGTTGTAATAACTCCAGCATGCGCACACGATCAAGGCCACCTCCGCCCAAGCTCAGTCTGAAAATTACGATGCGCCCAAGTTCTCCAATAGTGACACAATTTTCAGGCAAGCTCACCAGTCAAGTGCGGAGAGTCTTGCCTGCATACATTGCTTTGATCTTCCTCTTCTTGTTCTTTGCCAACACCGAGTTCTTTACAACCCCGATCCGAGCAGCGAGCAGATATAAGCGCGAGCTCAAATACCAGCAGCCACTCCAACCAGTTGGCTCGTTGATTCCAAAGAAGATATGGCAGACATGGAAGGTTGGTCCTCTGGGCTTTGAGCAGCGCGACTCAGACTCGGCCAAGACCTGGGCTCAGAAAAACCCTACGTACCGGTACGAGGTGTTGACAGATGATAACGCGAACGACTATCTCGAGTGGCACTATGGGCCACACGGCCTTGACCGAAAGGATCTCGTCGACCTATACCGGGAACTAAACATCACCATAATAAAAGCCGACCTGCTTCGATACCTCGTGATGTACGCCGAAGGTGGTGTATATGCCGATATTGATGTAGAGTGCCTACGACCCATCAACAGGTTCATTCCCGAGCGCTACAACGAGCCAGACATTGACATGATCATCGGAGTGGAAATTGATGAGCCTACATTTGCCAATCACGAGATTCTCGGATCCAAATGCAAGTCGTTTTGCCAGTGGACTTTTGCCGCCAAACCCCGGCTTCCGGTTATGATGCGGCTTATCGAGAATATTCAAGATTGGTTACACGAGTTGGCCAAAGCGAAAGAGGTACCTATATCGCAGCTCCACTTGGATTTCGACGAAGTGATCAGTGGTACGGGGCCGTCTGCGTTTACCAAAGCGGTCTTGGAACAAATGATGGCGCAGAACCATGGAAACCCAGTCACTTGGGATCTCTTCCACAATCTAGCAGAATCGAGACTTGTTAATGGAATTCTCGTGCTCAATGTCGAAGCATTTGCAGCTGGTCAAGGGCACTCCGACTCTGGCAACCACGGCTCCAGAGGTGCGCTAGTGAAGCATCATTACCACGCCTCGGGCTGGCCAACTCTTCATCCCAGGCGAAACCACCCCATGTATGGTGAGGTAGAGAAGTGCAACTGGAAGCCAGAGTGTGTAGCAGAATGGGTGAGTAGTGTTACAGGCAGCTTAACTTTTGACAACGTACTGACTCCCATGAAGGACAAGAATGTAGCTGAGTGGGATACGCTGTCCAAGGAAGAACAAGACAAGCGGCTCGCCAGTAAACCGGCCCCTCATGGGGTGCCGAAGCTAGGAGTTTAAGCCTTGCTGCCGAACAGATAATTCAAGTTGTGTGTTCATTCTTCCTAACACTAGGGGCGAGCGGAGCTCGGAAGGTGGTAGTGACGTTGGGTCGTAACTGCGGTTAGCTACAGCAACCGTCAGACGTTCCCGGGACATTAAGGGTGTCGTTAGAGGTGATATGCTCCCCTTTCATCTGAATGGAAGGCAGTAGGAAGATCTAATAGACGCTGATCCTGGAGGTGAAGATGTGTGGAGGCAGGTCTGCACATGCTCTAAAGTAATGTAACCTAGCGCATGACGTAATGAATTCACCTTATGTAATCCCATTCCCGTCACCTATCCAGAGTGCTCCCTGATGAGTACCATTTTTATCATCACGTATAGAGTTCTTCAAGTAGCTCATACTTCACATGTATCATTTGACTGTTGGTGTTTATGTTCCTGGGTTAAAGTGATGATGCATAAAGCCACTCAATCTTTCTTGCTGCTCGAAGCTTCATTCAAGCTCATAATTTCCTATCTTGTGACATCATGTCCAAAGCTTAGACATGGCTATCCGCTTTCAAGTTTCATCTGCCATCAATAAAACTATAGTTTTGATTTGGATCACAGATATCAGACTTTCAGGGAAAGAGTAGGAGCAAGGGGTTGAGGATGATGCTGGGAAGGCGGCATGTACGCATGTTACTACCCTTTGTTCCTGTTCAGACGGATCATCAAGTTGGTCGAGAAGGGTCTATTGAACGGACTCTAGAATACATGGTTAAGTTCATGTTGCGTGCGTGTCGCCTAACGCAATCTAAGCATAAAACGCAAAGGATGTATAACTACCCAAGATCCTAAAATCACAAGAAACTCGTAGTTATGTAAAATCATTGCGTTCTTCCCCTCTCATTTCCAGTATCTTTGTTGTTCTCACTATGTCAAGACATGTTTCACCAAAAAAGATACACAAAAGTAAGCAACAACGTTGCTATTCGCCGAAGGGGTTATCTCTGGGTATTAGGTCGATGCAGCAAAAACTTTCCGTCGCATAAATCGAGCAAATCAAAAAAACATAGAATAAATGTTCGCAAACTTGAGAAGAAAGAAGAAGAAGGTACAACTATTAACAACATGCTGTCATCGGCAGCAGCAGAAAATCTTACTTGATACCAGTGATATGGAGACAATTAACTCGTTCTCTTTCAGTACTAAGTAAGAAAAAAGCTACTAACAACAGAGGCGATGCTGTCTTCCATTCCAAACAAGGACCCAAGTTCCTAAACCCCATACTCCACCACCCTCACCGTGTCTGAATGTGGCGCAAACATGGCCTTTCTTATTCAGGCCAAACGCTTGTAATATGTATAACATTACTGTGTTACTCCTTTTGACCTTCGTTGAGCACCAACTCAACAACGACTTGGCTCCTTTCATGATACGGGTGCTGCAAGCTCAGCTTCACTGTCCTGTTGTGCGATGAACCTCCGCTGAGTCCATCATCCAAACACTTGACATCACGCCCAGCAATCACTTGGCGTAATCTGCCATTCTGTGCGTTGCGAATCTCAACAAAGTCGGGGTCGAAGAGCAACACATACGGCCCGTACATGGCAGCGCTCTTTGCCTTGCCGACAAATTCCATGATAACCGAGCGGGAGATGTCACCGTTCTTGTTGATGTATACCGCACACTCCTCGTAACAAAGAAGGAACTCTTGGTCCGAGAGGCGGAACATGCCCAATGGGACTTGGTTTTGTAGTCGCGACGCAATAGTGGCAACGTGTGGCTGCTTTAGGTCTGGCACCGACCATGGCTGTTTCTTGTCCAAAGTGAGTACCTCGAAGCCCTTTGATGTGGAGATGGCGAGAGAAGAATGGAAGAGATTGATGGTGAAGCATTCAGCCGGGATGTAGAACTCATCGTACTCGCGGAAAAACTCAGTACGGCCCGTTTTCCATATCCTGGACTTCTTCTCTGTGGATTTCTGATATACAGGCTCGAGGACCTTGAAGGTCGATGAGATCCCGTCGCGCTTCTTGTAGAAGACCAGGGTCCTGTCCTTCATTACACCAGTGGCAAAGAAGCCAATGTCGCGCGCGCCCGACAGCTTTTGAGGAGCGCGTCGAGTCGAGTCGTTTGAAGGAGCTATGCCGCTGAGTGGGCATACAGCATCCAGGTGGTATGCAATCAAAGCCTTATCAGAAATCAGGAGCATCAAGCCGAACTGCTCGAGCACGGCAATCTGCGTTACTCGCGGTATTTGAATGGCCTGAATATGTTAGCTTCGTTTTCCCAAGTACAGAGACATGACTTACCTTTGACCAGCCTCTAGGGTTATCGAAGTCGGACACGTATACGCCAATATCTGTACCAACCGCCACCATGTGTTTGCCATGGGGTTGGGTAAAGGCCGTGGCACAGTTAACCCTCGCTCGGCAGATGGGCACTGGGCGACCGACGTTGACGAAGAGCTTCTCGACCTCATCAACAGCCCGGTCCAGAGGTGTTCCCTTGATGGTTATGGCTCTTTGAGATGGCATAGCACTGTCGTATGCAAATGCAGCATCAGCCATCACTCGTAATCTGAAAGGCTCTGCATTCTGGGCAAAGAGAGCCGCGGCGTGTCGTGTCTTTGCAATGATGAGTTTGTCACACCATTCGGCTCGGTTTTGTGCGCTCGGAGCATACAGGGTGTAAGTCTCCTTGCCAAGATGCTTCACTCGGAACGGATATAGAATCTTCTCATCTTTGTTGGCGTCAATTGTCGGGGTATTGACAAGAGTCTTTCCAGAACCACTTGTATTTGAGGACCCAAGAGAGGAATTAGTAGTCACATGCTGCAAAGCGCCTGGAGCAGGACTGCCGGTTAGGCGTGCACCAGTTCCGGCAACTCGACCCGGGACGGCCGTGACTGTGGATATACCCTTCATTGTTGAACGTACAACGGGATCATCATCTTCGCTTTCGAGCACCAGCAAATCCATGGGAATTGGCAGCCGAGACACGTCATATTTCTCAGACTTAGTAACGCCATCCGCCTCTCTGAAAGAGACTGTTTTTGCGAGCACGAGGTAGTGGTCGAAGAGTAGTGCGTGGGTCTCAAGCCAGTTGAAGCGGTTACCTCCCATTCTTTGCACATCCCCTCGGAAAATCAGCTCTCGTCCAAGATGATCCAGATTAAGCTCTACACGTTGCATGCCTGGTCGTAAGATGAGCTTAGCTTGGAGATCTGTGAGGCTGACTTTCCGGCCCATCTCAGCGACACGGGCATCGCACTCCAAAGTTACAGCCTTGATCTCATCCTTGGCGATTTGGAGATTCCTCTTCTCCTCGTTGTCGACAATCGAGTATTTTAACACCGTATCCAGAAGCAGGCCGTAACGCTGCAGCCTGTCGATGGGTCCTTTCAGATACGTATCCCAACCAAGCTTGTTGGAAAGCTTGTTTTTCTGAGCTTCATCCAGAAACGTACGGAACAGTATGTTCCTATCGGCCTCTTGTCGGACCAGGAACGATGCGTACGGAAAGGCTGCCGCGTACTCGATATAGGCTTGCTTGGCCTTTCGAATCCATTCTCTGAAAATGTCGCTAAACCCGACAATCCATGGCCCCTGCTCTTGCTGCCTGTACTTGATCTGTGGGAGGAGATGGTCTTCGTTTGCCTTCCGCACTGCATCTACTTTGCTGAAAACGTCGCGGATGAATCGGTCGAGCTTTTTCGGGGGTATAACAGGAGGCTGTGATGCCTTTAGTCGGTCACGGTACAGATGGCGCAACACATCGAGTCGATTCATGTAGTTGTCCTCTCCCTGCACAATCTCGTGTAGGATATTTTGACGCTCAATTTCCTTCTTGTTCGCACCCTCAATATCCTCCTTTTTCAGCTTGTAAAAGGTAGCCCAATCTTCCGAACGAGGTGCGGCGGACGGAGCATGGAGGTCAATCTTCTTGAGCGTTCGCTGGCAGTGGTGTGAATAACATCGACCAGGAGATGCGTAAGTATGCAACATGGGTGCGTAGCAGCCCGCTCCTGTTAGCTGAAATATTACACCCGTCATGCTTTCCGAAGAGAACTTGAGCCATTCTTCTTCGTGTACAAGAGTACCAGCTTTGTACATTTCTGCTACCACACGGCTACTCAAGGTCTCGGCATCGGCAATATTCATCGTTGGAACCTTGTGAGTGAAAAGTGCAATCAGACCCTCCTGGATAGGACCCTCCTTCAAATCATTTTCTCCTTCTGTCATGCTCTTGAGCCAAGCAATGATTGAGCTGAGCGCCCACGGCTCTGTGCACTTCTTGAAGTCGATGCTAGACAGCTTTGCAGGGTTGAAGCGCTTGCCAGCTGGAATTGTTGGCAAATCAATAGCTACAGCTTCAGTGCTGGCAGGAGTTAGCGTGTTGCCGTCGCTGTCTATGGCATGGCCATAAAAGGTATTGCGGCTACCCCGAGATCTGTGCCCCTGTTCCGCATCGGTCTTGGATCTCGGCAAGGGTATAGCATCTCGAGCGTTGCTGTGCTGTAGGAGAGAGGTTGAGCGGGGGACGTGTGTGCCGTTGGGCGATACCATGTGTACACCGTTAGGGTCGATAGGGTACGAGTCACGGGACGATGGAGCGTTGCGCCAGTACTCGTAGGATCCAGATCCGGCAGAGCTGTTGCTTTGGTGGTTTGTTCGCCGAGCGTTGGTGTTCACTGGAGGAGGTGGTAGAGGCCGGTTTGAGATTCCTGGGTGGTAAAACATGTCTGGTGGTTCGCCGGGCATGGCCGATGTTTGATTTATGAGAGTAGAGCTGGATGCGATAGAGGCGCTGTCCATGAGGGTGACTTCATCACCTTCGTCGTAGCTCCGTCGTCGGGCGCTAGGCTCTTCAAGACCACCAGTACCGAAGGTGTCGACACGTGCATTGTTCGAAAAGGACGGGAAGGGGTGAATCGAATCGTACTCTTCGCCATAAGGCTCTGATCGTCGCTGTGAGCCTGATGTTGACGGTGGGTAGCCACTTCCCGCTGCTAGCTGACTTGGGTCTCCGCCATAATTGAAGGACGGCATGAAGCCACCGCCATACGTACCCACGTCCATGCCTACATATTCGGTATCGCTTGCACTTCCTTCTCTTGCGGGTTCTGTAGGCATGTGTGGTGAATGAACTGACGTGTAGTTGCTGAA